GAGGGCGCGAGTACGAGACATAGTTCTTTGGCACATCCCCTTGAGAACTCTTGATTCTTATCTACCGTCTATAGTAAGTGTTTTTTTCATTTCATATCCTTATTTTGGAGAGCGAAGGTGGTATTATATACTAAATAATTACTATTAATATATATATATATATATATATACTAAGATAAAAAAATGAATAATACAGACCTATGATATATATAAATATTTCACTACCTATACAGCATAGGTAAGTAATATAGACCATATATTATATTTAGGGAGTCTGTAACCGCTTAATTGCCATTCAGTGTAAAGGGATTTCACTAGAACAAATGACCTAATCTAAATTTTCTCATAACATTATCACACAACAATATTCTCATGTGAACTCTCTTTAGTAGCGACAATCAATAATGATTGTCGTGAAATGGGGCCTAATTTGATCTCTTTTTAGTCTTACTATAAGAAGAAAGAAAAGCTAGTTTGAAGCGAAAGAGCTGTTGATTATTGTACGATTTAATTCGAGGATTGATAACAAATCGTTTCTACAAAATAGTCTGATAACAAGGTTACCATATTCGCACATCCACAAAAAGGTTGCTAATCGAATAAAGATTTCGCAAGAGAGATATTCGATGAACCACCCCCCCGGAATATTCAAATACTGAGTATTGAATGTATTTCAAAAAAGGTTTTCAGAGATTTTACTGACACATTTGTAGCTATATTCATAACATACTAGAGAGGATACGAGAGCTAACTATGCCAATCTACGGGATAATTAATGCTAATTGAACTCAAAAGTAATCGATAAACTAAATAGATGAATGGCCGATTATAGTCCATGATGTATAATACTGCTTTACAAACAGTAATTATACTGATGTTCTCCGGCCATCAATTGTTATGACTGATAAATGAATTTTGGAAGAAAAACTCCACATGTATATGACTCCAACTGGAAATAAGCAAGACGATCCAATTTAGGCTCATTGGTAGATAATGATTACGATAAAAAATAAGTTATATTTGATGTTATACACATCAATTAGGTAAATAGGGAAACGTCTCAAGAGCAAAACTGAGAAAATAGCATATGACCCTAAAATCATTGATGAAAATAGAAAAGTACAAAATTGATTGGCCCAAAAGACCGAGAGAGATCTTGGAGGCACTACCGCTGGCTTACTCGTTCAACCATGTAGAGTACAAAAAATGATATTCCGCTTTATATTAATGGTAAGCTAATTCGTCTAGTCTTTTCAATGAGCTAGCATTCTCCTGCATACAAATCGATTAGTAATCCTGCTGTTTTCCTTGGATAGATTTAAACTTATGTATATTGTAGTATGGATATTGAAGAGGAGCACCTGTTACGATGCATGTAATCCTCAGCCCACACACTATATGTGAAGTGCTAGGTGAAAGTGATTTTGGTTAAAACGAAATTGGAAAAAGAAAGTGATACATAGTTTCGAGGCGATAGTGTGTGAATTTTTCTATGTAGTAGTTGGTCTAATTGATAAACAACTCTTTGGTCAGTTAGGAATCAGGCACATATATCCTTTTTTCCTCCATAAAACCCTGAAAATCACGAAGACCAAACCGCACAGAAGGATTTTCACCCTTACAACAATATTTGTGCATCAAAGAATCCACTGAAGCTCACTCTATCACTATCCAAACAACTCTTACCCTAAAACAAAGAAGTCCTCGATCAAAGGCTTGCTTGGTCACAAGTCGCGCTCTGCTTCACCTCTGCAAGCTACACCAGACAGAAGGGTCACAAGGGAGATAGCCACCATTAACTACAGTCAGGACCCACAAAGGAGCATGGAAAGAATTGCTATGCCGCCGTTACTGATGACAAGTCAGATTATCTTTAAAGAGCCTCGGACTCGTGCAGTGAAGTAAGAGATTCAAGGCCAATTTTAGACTCACAAAAGGCAACAGCTAGACTCGCGCACGGATAATCTTACTTTTTGTCACGTGCAATGCCAGATTTTGTGAGTACACATACCTGCAAAAACTTAATGAACGATGGATGATTTGGACGACTCAAATTTCGCCTTGATAAAAAAAAATGCAGCCCCTCATCTCGGGACACTCGCACGCGATTCGGGAACCCGGAATTAAGAAGCCCACGACATCATGACTGGTTTTCAAGCCTTTCCGAATCGTGCACATTTGGGTATGCGGTTCCTTGATTGGCCATCAATCTCAGAACCGCACCTACCCTGTATTGGCCGACCCCTCTCGGACCACCCTAACACACGCCGAGCTAACTACATCGGTCCAGGTAGCTTAAGTCCGCCGGACCTTTAGATCGGAAATCATCATCGCACACCAACTGCTGACCTACATTTACTTCGTGCTTGCTAGTAACAATAAAAGAGATAAAAATCCAGTTTTAGTTTTCTAACCTACACGTAACCCTCGAATGACCCAAGTTTACACAAGAGTCATGTCAACTCCCAGGACGGACTACATTCTGCTCTTCTGGCGCAGCCTGCCGGAATGGTTTTTTCAAGTGGAAGCAGGAAATTCCTCCTCAAAACATCAATCCACGCAGACACTAAATTCCGCCTGCTGGCACTATAACTCTCCGCCATGTAACTTTTTCTGAACGTCGTGCGACCTCCTGATGATCATCGTGCGCACATTACGAAACTTAAGGAGGCCATTCTTAGCGAGCAGCACCTAACTCCTGACCGCGTAACTCCTTCTCTCGCTGACGCCGCCGGACAACGTACTCCCAAGAAATCCTTCACCACTTCCAGCGCCTCCCACCACACGTGGCACGAGACGACTCCCCACCAGACGCATGCCGTCTCTCCTTCCTCAAGCGCTGCCGCTGAATCCAGCAAATCCTGCTGGTCAACGCCCCATGGAGCACCTTGCCCTAAAAACCAGACGCGATGCTCGCACTAGGGCACCCACAACCGCCAAAACGACAGTGTCTGCCCAACCACCACCTCCCGTGGACGTTGGGATCCTTCGCTCACTCGCCCACTACCAAGGCTGTCAGAAGATATCTACACAGAACGCCTCGCTGTCCGCACCCTTTCGCGCCACAACATGACCCGGGCTCACTCCTCTACCGCCCAACCGCCACCTGCTCGTCTCCTGCACCGCCGCAAAGATTGGAGACCGGCGAGTAACTGGCCGCCTGTCTCCGGACCTCGGAGGCTTTATTGTAACGTCCGAATGCCTCCTCCCCTACGTTTCCTCGTCGACACGGGCCGAGGCAGCTCTCCCCGGCTCCCACAGGATAAAACTTCCCCTCCTCCCGCCTCTGGAAGCTGCCAACACATCGCCCCATCAACACTTAACGCGAGCGTCGAGGACCCTCTCGCTGGAAGGCGACCCGCCAACGATTCCAGTGGATCTTCCTCGTCCGACGTCCCTCAACCCATCATCGGCGCCGACTTCTTGGCGCACTACGGTCTGACGGTTTATTCAAGGTATGGCCCTGATCCACCGAACCGGGGCCCGTACGCACGTTGCTCCAGATCTGGTAAGTACCCCCTAATATATACAGTGCTTTCCCAGACCTGCGCTTTCAAGAACATCCTGCGGGAATTCCGGCCTTGACCAAGCCAATCAACCGGCCACCCAACCACGGCACGAAGTCCGGCACCACATCGTCACCCACGGTCCCCGTGCCCCGACAGATTCGCAGTGCCAGGGCGGAGTTCGACCATATGATGCAGTTGGGGATTATACGCCCTTCCAGCAGTCAATGGGCAGCCCCTCTGCATCTGGTGAAGAAGAAGATGGTGACTGGCGCCCGTGCGGTGATTACCGTCACCTCAGCACGATCACCGCCCCCGACAGATACCCCCTGCCACACCTGCACTCCTTCTCCCACGAGCTGTCGGCTGTACGGTTTTTTCCAGGATCGACCATGCGGGCCTTCCACCAAATCCCGATCGCTGTAGAGGACCCCAAGACGGCCGTGATCACAACCTTTCGGCCTCTTTGAATTCCTCAGGATGCCCTTCGCTCTTCGGAACGGCCCCCCAGACTTCCAGCGATTCATAACGACGTGACTCGCGGCCTTGAGGGTCTTCGCCAACATCGACGACATCCTCGTCGAAAAAGCATACCAGAAAGCCCGCCATCTCGCCCTCTTTCGGCAGACTGCAAGACGCGGCGTCGTTAACCCGGGAAAATGCCAGTTCGGTGTCGCCCTCTCTCCTCGCCACACGGTCACCCCAAGGCATCACCCCAGCGCAGGAGAAGGTCACCGCTAATAGGAAGTTCCCCAGGCCAGCGACGGAGAAGCAGCTGCGAAATTCCTGCATGTTTAAACTTCTACAGAAGGTTCGTCCCGGGTGCCCAGCTCTCAAGCCCTCCACGCCCTGATCACACCTAACAGGGCCAGCAGAAACGCCAGAATTGAGTGGACGTCCCGACTAATGAAGCTCCAAGCCTGCAAAAAGCCCTTGCCGCTGCCACGCTTAACCATCCCTGCCTGAGGCTCCCCTCAGCATAGCGGTCGACGCCTCCGACACTGCCATCGGTGCGGTCCTCCAGCAACGCCAGGGTAAGCAATGGCAACGCCTTGCCTTCTTTTCGCAAACCCTGTCGCCACGCCAGTCACAGTACAGTGCCTTCGGAAGGGAGCTCCTGGCAGCATACTCTGCGGTGAGGCATTTCTAGCCGTCTGTGGAGGCTAAGGAATTCCAATCCTGACGGACCAGAAACCCTCACCTTCGCCTTACACTCGAGGACCGCCGCCAATCCCCTCGCGAGGAGCGCCACCTGGACTTCATTTCCCAGTTCACGACGGACATCCGCCACATTCGGGCTCGGACAATGAGCCGCCGATGCTCTGTCGAGGGTGACCCTATCTGCTGCGACTCTCGCCGACGACGCAGTGGACTACCATCTGGTAAGCAGAGAGCAACGCCAGGACACGTGCTTGACTCCACTCCTAGAGGGCCAGACTTCCCTCTACCTTGAGAGAGTCAAAATCCCGAACTCCTGCGACAACCTTCTCTGCGATGTCTCCCTCGCTACCCTCGCCCATACATCCCGCCTTCCCTCCGCGGCGATTCTTCGATGCCTACCACCAGCATCGCGGCATCCGGCCACCCAACACCTCATCCCCAGCAAGGACGTCTGGCCCGCCATCATCAAGGACGTTCGGCAGTGGTGTCGTTCCTGTATCGAATGCCAAAGAAACAAGATCCACAAGCACACCAAATCCCCCCTCCAAACCTTTCCTATTCCAGACAGTAGGTTCCACACGTCCACATAGACATAGTGGGACCCCTGCCCATGGACGACGCTACAGCTACATCCTGACGATGATCGACCGCTTCACCAGATGGCCCGAGGCTACGCCCATCCGCGACATCACCGCAGCGACAGTCGCCAAGACCTTCAATACCTGGATCTCCCACTTTGGCACCCCGGAAACCGTCACTACAGACCGCGGCGCCCAGTTCGAGTCCGAACTTTGGCGCCACCTAATGATCCTGCTCGGGTCCAAAAGAATCAGGACGACTGCCTACCACCCTGCGCCAACGGCATGTCGAGCGCTCCACCGGCATATGAAAGCAGGCCCTAACATCATCCTCCCCTAACAGATGGGTCGACCAACTTCCTCATGTCCTCCTCAACATCCAACGTCGTTCAAAGAGGACCTGCAGTGCACCAGCGCAGAAATGGTCTACGGGACAACGCTCGCCCTCCTTGCAGATTTCCTTGTCACAGCCAGCACTTCAAACCGGGACCTTCGCAAACAACTCTGCGAACGAATGGCCCGGTACGCAGCCGACCGACGAAGACCACCGACAGCAGTACATATACATGCCTCCAGGCCTCCAGGATTGCTCTCACGTCTTCGTGAGAAAACATCCCAGACCTCCTCTGTCCCGTACAAGGGTCCATTCCCGTCATCGAAGAGGCGACAAGACGATCACCATTCGCCGCCCAAGGGAGAAGACACCGTGACCATCGACCGCGCCAAACCCGCACACCTGCAGCAGCCCTTCAGGATCGCCAAAGTCCGTTTCGCGACCGCGAAACTAGAGGGAGTGCTGTAGCGGTCCTGATTGGCCATCAATCTAGAACCGCACCTGACCTGTGACTGGCCGACCCCTGCTTCGGGACCGCCCTAACCGGCCATGCTAACATCGCCGGTCAGGTACTTAAGCCGGACCCTGAGTGGAAATCATCATCGCCACACGACTGCTGTCCTGACATTACTTGTGCTTGGCTCATTAACAATAAAGAGATAAAATCCAGTTTGGTTTTCTTAACCTCCACAACATCATCTTTCGGGACAAGAGGAAAATGAAAGCTCAAACGTGTTTATCTGCAGAGACTTATGCCGTCCTCTGTTGAGCCAAATGACACTCATGCACGAAGTAAGGAACCAGGAGAAATAGCGTTTTTCAATGGAAGAAGTTGGTCATGAAGAGCCCCCACTGTCTCGACCAAACTTTCGTCGCAGCTCTCCCTCCAGATCATCACATGCCATTTCGTAAATCAACGCCCCCATCTCCTCCCAAGCGAAGACCTACAGAGAGTGCCTCTCTCCCCTCCCACCCTTCCCCCTCTCTCGCAGACTATCCAACACCCCTCGACTCCTACCTGCCTCTCCCCACCCTCTCCCCAGCTCTCCCACTACCGCCAACACTCGTCTGATCGCCTCGCCTCACCTTCTGCCCAACCCTGTCTTCGCGTCCTTTCCTCTGCCACTGATAACATGTCTAAAGTCCCATCTCATCGGCGCTCTCATCAACCTACTCTGAAGCGGCTGCGCAGCTGGAGGTGCCGACAATAATGATTTGAAAAAGTTCGTACAAGAACACAGGTTACCGTTTCGTAGCGTCAGAAGCAAGATCGGTCGGTACACTCATATCTTTTGCTGTTTTATCTAATTAGTATTGACTTTTTCATTTTCTAATGCCCTTAAGTTCATATCTACCTTTTAACTCTTATCCGACACTATTTTCCACCGATTTAAGTGATTTTAACGATGTATATAGAAAACAACTACAACCATTCCTATATCAGAACTTGAAAAAATTACATTACAAGCCATTCATAGTCAACAGTGACACTCTGTCGTGTGATATGACCCTGATAACTTTATGTAGTCTAAACTGGAAGTTGCCGTCCCCTCTGTAATTATTATTTCCCGAATAATGTGCCTCTTCACTCCTTATCTATTTATGAATTATAAACATCATTTGTTGCCAAACGCCAATTTTGAATCCTTTTACATGCAAGCTTATACCCTCCATCATTTGACCATTAACTGTGTGAAAACAAAACAAACAAACATCATACAAAACCTCTCCACATCCGTAATTATATGCTGTTCTCTAGCAAGCAAACGTGATCTATACTGTAAGAGGAAAGCATTGAAGCCCTATTCATTAAGATCATTAATGAAAGAGGTAACGTAAATAAAGGAAATTTACCGTCAACCCAAAAGCAATATTACAGTCTTCATGGAAAAGTGAAGATGTTGATCGAGAAAAAACTTGTGTGTGACAACTGAGATTTTAATTGAGACCTTTTAAGGCAATTATGTACAGGATTTTATCAATTTCTTTCACTCCAAATTCTTTTCAATGTAATCTCGAAAGCAATGAGGGTAGCGGATAATCTGCAACGATCATAAACATGTGTGGACGAACAATTTAACGTCTTGCAGCAACAGTGGGGTGCTCTAAATCACATTTCTAATCACTTTCCCGTCATCGCAAACATTTAACATGAAGGGATTAATATGTATAGCCATAAAATACCAATTAAGTATAGAGACCAGCTTAGAAAATGCTTCAAATTTTAAAAACTATCTCAGTAAATTAGTGTGAGATCTAGCGTTAGCTCCATCAGACCCTAATATTATTTATTTTAATTTTATGATAATATTCAAGGCATGTTTTAACAAATACTTTCCTGAAAAAAAAATAAATGTATACAAACTAAATCCTTATTGAAGCCTTACATCAATGACGAAATTAAAGCCTATCAGAGAGAAAAATAAGCTCCAAAGGAAATACGCCAGATCAAATAACGGGAAACTCTACGGAAAGATAATATACACTATCTTAAATAAAAGGCCACAGTGTCAATCTCAGTCATTTACTATTGAATAGGCAGGAAGTGAGGGATCCAAAAGTAATTGCTCAGCATTTTAATAATCATTTCATAAATATTCCCAAGAATTAGCACTACATTCAATGAAACTGCTGTTTCTCCATATAGTTGGTTCTTTCAAATCGTCAACTAAATACTTTACCATTTTTCCGACAACTACAAAAAAAAATTCCGATACAATAGATCTAGTTTTAAAAAATCTTCTGACCCTGACAATATCCGTATTAGTCTTATAAAAACTGTATCAGTCAGGTCCTCCTCCACCTTATAAACTCATCTCTAACCAAAGGCAGAATCCCAGAATCACTGAAGACTGCCAAGATCCAGCCAATCTATAAATGTGGAAATAAAGGGTAACATTGAGAACTACTGTCTAATATCGCATTTATTGGCCTTTAGTAAAATCCTAGAAAAAATATAATAGCTAATGGACTAGAAACCTTTTGTATATGATTTCAGGAAATATGATTTCAGGAAAACCAAATCAACTGAGGAAGCTATCCCTACTCTTTATAAGTCACTGCATTTGACGAAAGGAAAGTTTCAATTGGTGTATGTCTAGACTAATGTAAAGCCTTTGATACGGTAGATTATCATATTCTATTAAATAAACTTGAACACTATGGCATCAGAGGCACAGCAAATCAATGGTTCGCAGCCAATCTAACCGCAGTAAATTAATATGGAGTACCACAAGGTTCCATTTGGGCCCATTTTTATTCTGTTATATGTGAATGAATTTTAACAGATATCATTTACATATAACAGAAATAAAAATGGGCCCAAAATGGAACCTTGTGGTACTCCATATTCATTTACTGCGTTAGATTGGCTGCGAACCCATTGATATGGCTGACAGTAATCTATACACCTCTCATAACTCGCTCTCACCCACGTAGACCAAATAGCCAATGCTGAATTACAACTAGTTAGTGAATGGCTTCATTCTAATAAACGTACTCTAACCATAGATATGTCCCACTTTATCATGTTCCAAAGAAACAAAAAAAATCCACCGGACATGCACAACTTAAAAGTGGCCAAAATTTTATCCAAAAAGAACCAAACTAAATTTCTAGGTGTCATGTTAACGCAAAGGTTGACGTGGAAGCCCACGTCAGCTATGTTGGAATAGAGTAAATAAACAAGTTGGTATCATTATCAGATCCGAGATTCACTACCAACTCAAAGCTTGTTATGCAGCTTTATTACTCTCACTCAATTACCGCTATATAAACTACTACCAAACAATATGGGGTTCTGCCACAAGAGCATCATTAACATCTACTCACACACAGAAACGAGCCGTTCGGCACTATTCAGGTCTAAAGGAAAAATGATCACACGAAGAGTAATTTCGAAATTTGAAAATCTTAAAACTAAGGGATATAAACATAATATTGTTGCAGTCTCTTTATATATAAACATATTACAATTGCCTCGAACAACTATTTTCCGGAAAAGGCAAAATCTAGATACCAATACATATAAAAACTGTGCTCCAAATTCCCTTGTACACATTCGCCAACTCATTAATCATACACATATCAAGGCACAAATGTGATACCATACATACACAAAGTGTATGTGTATATCTATAACCACACATACACCTAAATACATGCACGTAAACACACGCACATACACACAAATATTACATTCGTGAAAAAAAATAAAGTGAGAAAAGAATACACAACATAATATAAAACACAAGTATTGTATAGGACATGGATGACTATGTAAATATATCAGTATAGTGGGTTGGGAGGTTGTTCAAGTTTTGGGCCTTGATATGGGATGATTAACTGAGATTGGGCGAAGGATACAAAGGGAATTTGGAGTAAGTTTTTATATGTATGGGTATCTAGAATTTTGCCTTTCCGGAAAATAGTTGTTCGAAGGCAATGTAATATGTTTATATATAAAGAGACTGCAACAATATATGTTTATCTCCCTTAGTTTTAAGATTTTCAAATTTCGAAATACATCATTCGTGTGATCATTTTTCCTTAGACCTGAAATAGTGCGAACGGCTCGTTTCTGTGTGATGAGTAGATTGTTAATGATGCTCTTGTTGGCAGAACCCCATATTGTTTGGTAGTAGTTTATATAGCGGTAATTGAGAGAGTAATAAAGCTGCATACAAGCTTTGAGTGGTAGTGAATCTCGGATCTGATAAATGATACCAACTTGTTTATTTACTCTATTCCCAACATAGCTGACGTGGGGCTTCCACGTCAACCTTTCGTCTAACATGACACCTAGAAATTTAGTTTGGTTCTTTTTGGATAAAATTTTGGCCACTTTTAAGTTGTGCATGTCCGGTGGATTTTTTTTGTTTCTTTGGAACATGATAAAGTGGGACATATCTATGGTTAGAGTACGTTTATTAGAATGAAGCCATTCACTAACTAGTTGTAATTCAGCATTGGCTATTGAGTCTACGTGGGAGAGCGAGTTATGAGAG